CCCTAGTTTCCTCCTTTTAAAGGGAGAAGGAGGAGGTGCGGCTGCCAAAACCAAAAAGACAAAAAAAAAAAAAAAGAAAAGAAGAGAAAACAGAAAAAAAAAATTTTATTTTTCTCCCTTCTACAGATCCACCATCGCCACCATGACCTCCGTTCTTTCATCTCGAATCTTCACCATCCCCTTGCTGAGCATCTCATAATCATCACAGCCTCCACCTTCATCACTGGTAATCACCAAAGCAGAAGGGTTCGGCAGCTACTAGAAATGGGGAGAAGATGAAGCAGATCTAGCCAGTAATCACGGAAGCGAAGCATTCACTGAATCTCCAATCCACCGGCGACAGGTTGAGGAAGATGTTCGCGGCGTGCGGCATGTGGCGTTCGTCATTCGTGATGAAGAAGGAGAACAGAAACAGATCTGCAATCGGAAATCCATTGTTTTTTTTTTTTAGTTTGAACTTAGGTGTACCGGTCATATTTCGGTGCGCCGGCCGGTACACAAAATTTTGGTTGGTATATCGAATTTTGACCGAAACGAAATTTGATGTTATACCGTTTCGATCAAGTGTCAAAACCGATACATACCGGTCATACCAACCGGTACGGTACGGGATTGACTTCTTTGACTATACTTCCCAAAGGCATCCTCTCGTTAAATACCATATCAAATTAAAAATCATTGCAAAGAAAGCAAAAACCACTGTAAATATATCAATACTGCAAAAGTAACTGCCACATAAAGGAAACCAAGCAATGATTATATATGACTAGAACTTTCAAACTAAGCATATCAACATAATATTTCTGTCATTGCATATAGATATTTACAATTCCCCGTTGTCAAACACAAGATTATAAAGAAAAATTGGATTTGTTTCTTCATTTAGGAAACTTTTAGGGAGTAAAATGAGTTTGAATGTCAGTTAATATATCAATAGAGGACAAGTCAAAGAAGAAGAAATCAAGCATAAAATAAAAAGAAAAGGGGACTTTACCGTGCCTCTCGGATGCCTAATTGTCTACAATTTCTTATAACACAGCTTCACGCTAATCACCCACTAATCCAACAAAGATGACTCAGATTCTGTCAATAGGTTCTGTCAAAATTTAATTATCATTTATATATTATAAAAAACATGACTTCAAAATATTTAAAAAAAAAGTTAAAAAATTTATATTATGAAAAGAAGGGAGTTAAAAATACAATTAACACTTTCTTCGATCACATATTAGACAATCCTTCCTTTAAGTATACTGCTATCTATCACAAAATTTAAATATTGGGTTTTCTTCATAATATATATATATATATATATATATTGGGTTTTCTAACATGCATGCTAAAAAACTATTAGAGTGCATTAATTATATATTTTATAATTAATTTGTTTTAAAAAGTTAAAAATTAACTTTGATATTATTAATTATCTGATGGAATTTTTTGAAATGTGCCCTTA